ACACTTCGATGCTTTACTGCAGTAGAAGAAGTGCAAGGGCATGAAGAGACCAGCAGCTTCAAATGCCTCAACTGCTGCTGTGGGCAAGCACCCTGCCAGCACTGCAGCCATGGGCCCAGCCAAGAAGCCAGCCACCAAATGTGCTGCCAGCAAAGCTGCTGCCAAGAAGTCAGCTACACCAGTTACCAAACTGCATGCCAAGAAGCCCAAACATGGTGGGCCATATGGATGCGTGAGATGCAGAGGAAACAAGCAAGGTTGCAGCAGCTGTTGGCAGCCCAACTTTGCTGGTGTCAGGTTGCCATCCAGGAAAGAATGGCGAGCCTACATGAAAGCCAATGGCAAGAAAGTCTGAGCCAGAACAATACCATGGAGAGAGCCATTCCCAAACTATGAGTGGCATTCTTTCCCTGTTGGGGCAGGATCCCAGTAATACTTGCTGAAGAGATCCAGGGGTTTTCGAGACCTGCAAGAAAGCAAAGCTTCAGGCAAAAATTCAATGTCATTGTTGTATCCAAAGACCACAGAGGTCATCTGTTCATGGCTGCATCTGCTTGCATCAAAGGCCATCTAGGCCATGGAATATAGCCAACTCAGTGCTGCAAGAGTTGCACCTTGTGGCTGTGCAGCTTGCTTTGCCAACACCCTTTCACACATGATGGACAATGACATAGCCAAGAGGCCATTGTACACCAACTAAGTTGGAAAAGGCCACATATACATTGCACATGGCATGTGGTGATGTGACAGCTGATATGCTTAGGTGGTTCATGCAGTATTTAGCAACACAACAGGTAACAGCAATTGATATCTTTAACTTCCAACTTTCAGCTTTTTGTGCCATGACCTCCAACATGGAATCTGAGCATGCCTCCAAGAGGATCAAGCTGGAGCAATTGCTTCAATTCAAGGCCAAGCTGCCAGCCCACAGCCAATCAGCACTGGAAGCAATCCTACAGGAAGCCAGTAAATCTGGCATTCCAGATTTGGTGTCATCTAATCACCAAAGAGAAGCAAGGTTGCAGCTGCTGGGAGATTACCATGGTGGATCACTTGGCCCACTCATACAGCAGAGCACATTGGAGCTGGAAGATGGGTCCACTGCACCCATGTACTACACCAATTTACTGGTCTACATGGCCAACCTCTACCACAAGAACACAAGCTTCACCAAGCTCATCCAGGAGTGCCACAGGAGGTCTCCAAGCACCATAGACCAACCATGGGGTTTATGTTTATACTGCGATGAGATAATTCCAGGCAACATTTTGGGGAGAGCTGAAAGAAAAACCTGGTGCATATACAGCACCATTGATGCCTTTGGCATCCACATGCACCAGGAAGACTCTTGGCTGACATTGGCAGTGGAGAGAAGCTCATTCGTATCCACTGTCAATGGTGGCATCAGCCAAATGGTTGCCACCATCCTCACCAGCATCTTTTGTTGCCCAATTGCCAACCCAAAGGTTGGATTCACCTTGAAAAGTTCCACAGGGGATGTCACAATATTCCTAAACTTCAAAATGATGTTGTGTGATGGAGCTGCTCACAAGCAGGTGTGGGCCAGCAAAGGTGATTCTGGCCAGAAATTCTGCCTGATGTGTTCCAATGTGAGGAGCCATCCACCCAAGCAAGACCAAGACCAAGACCAAGAAGAGGCTTACACACAGCCACTGAAATACCATGAGTTGCAGCTGGTACAAGATGAAGAGCTTCTGGCCAGCTACCAGAGGATGGCAGTCAGGCATGGGACTTGTTCCAAACAAGATTTTGCCACATGGCAGGTAGCCACAGGCATCACTTTCTCAAAGCATGCTCTTTTGTTGAATGCCAAGCTGCTTGCAGCCCAAGTGCTGAAGCCCATTTCACAATTTTGCCATGACTGGATGCATGGAGTGCTGCAAGGCACTGCACCCATTGTGTTGTACCATACATTGGAAGCCATATTTGCTCACATGGACATCTACAACTTCTTGGAGGAATATTTCCAAAGGTTCCAATTTCCCAAAGCATGGAAAGCCAGCCATGTCCATTCCTTGTTCACCAAGAAGAAGGTGGAGAAGTTCAGGAAAGCCAACAAATTTTCTTGCTTGGCAAGTGAAATTCTGGCCATTTATTTAATTGTGAGGCATTTGATCCGTGTGCACTTGGAACCGCGAAAACTTTGCCCAGAGGCTTGCCAGGCATTCTGCACCATGGCAGAAATTATTGATCAGTGCCATGGTGGTACACAATGGAAAGTAACCACAAGAGCTTCCTTGCTGGAAGCCATTGAAGCTGGAAACCAAGCTTTTGCCCATGCATTCCCCACAGTGGGCATGATAAAGAAGTGGCATTGGCATTTGCACCTTCCAGACTCCTATGCCAGGTATGGCCACTTGCCATCTTGCTTTACTTGTGAGCGCAAGCACAAAACTATCAGCCCTTTTGCCACCAGATTGCAGCATACCCAAGGATATGAAATCAATTTGCTCCAGCAGGTGGTATCCAATGAAATCATGGCATTGCAACAAGAAAATGTTTTTCCAAATGCAGCCACATTGGTGAAACCCAAGAAGGCAACCCAGAAGCAAAAAGACATAATTTCCATGTTCTTGCTTGGGCCTTGTGAAGATGCATTTTCTTCCATGTGTGCAAGACTTGCCCAAGGAGGACAAATTTTCAATGAAGATGTCATTATTTACCAAAAAGGTTCAGAATGGAGAATTGCACAAGTCCAATTCCATGTGCAAATTGTGGCACCCAAGCAACTTTGGTCCAGGTGTGGGAGATCCAAGAATACCATCTGGACAAGCAATATGTCAAGTGCAATGTCTCCAGCCAATATGGGTTTATTTCCTTGAGCAGCATCCTGTTTCCAGTGACTTTTGCCAAAGGCAATGATGGAGCCAAAGTGCTGCTTCCTTATCCACTCTATGCCAAAGCTTCCAAAAGCTAATCACAAATGCTTTGGGGACAGAAAAAAGTTGCTCACTGTATTTTTTGCAAAGGCCATGTTTGGCCATTCTATAGCTGTCTCTTGGGCAAAGGCCTTCTAGGCCATGTACCTTTTGCAAAGGCCATGTTGGCCATCAAGTCATGGATTATTCAGTTGGTATGTGCTTTCAATTGATTTTGGAAACAAAAAAAGAAAACAAGAAGCATTTTCTTTGCTATTGCATGCCTTTTGTTGTAGCCCTGAACACAAGAATTAAGCCCTTTTTTTACATAGCCAAAAAAAGTTATAACTAGTTAGCTAGAGTTAGCAAAAAGATATAAAAGTTAGCTAACTCAAGTTAATTATGTTAACTCCTTATAACAAAGCCAGGAATGTAAGCAGGCGTGGCACAAACTCACATCCACCGTCGTTTTGCGTGGCAGGCGTGGGACAGATGGCACTGGGTGGCGCGCTTGGGCCGGCTTGGGCGCCTGTGACGCCGCGGCACTTTGCGTGGCAGGCGTGGCACAACCTGACATCCACCTTCGTTTCACGTGGCAGGCGTGGCACAAACTCACATCCACCGTCGTTTTGCGTGGCAGGCGTGGGACAGATGGCACTGGGCGGCGCGCTTGGGCCGGCTTGGGCGCCTGTGACGCCGCGGCACTTTGCGTGGCAGGCGTGGCACAACCTGACATCCACCTTCGTTTCACGTGGCAGGCGTGGCACAAAGTCACATCTACCGTCGTTTTGCGTGGCAGGCGTGGCACTTATGGTACTGGGTGGCGCCCTTGGGCCGGGATTGGGCGCCTGTGACGCCGCGGCACTTTGCGTGGCAGGCGTGGCACAACCTGACATCCACCTTCGTTTCACGTGGCAGGCGTGGCACAAACTGACATCTACTGTCGTTTTGCGTGGCAGGCGTGGGACAGATGGCACTGGGTGGCGCCCTTGGGCCGGCTTGGGCGCCTGTGACGCCGCGGCACTTTGCGTGGCAGGCGTGGCACAACCTGACATCCACCTTCGTTTCACGTGGCAGGCGTGGCACAAACTCACATCCACCGTCGTTTTGCGTGGCAGGCGTGGGACAGATCATCTCTCACACGCCATCTTTCACACACAACTTTGTCACACGCCATCTTTCACACACAACTTTGTCACACACCAACTTTGTCACACACCATCTTTCACACACCAACTTTGTCACACACCATCTTTCACACACCTCTTTGTCACACCCCACCTTTCATACACCATCTTTCACACATCACATTGTCACACACCATCTTTCACAAACTCTCTTTCACACACCACTTTGTCACATACCATCTTTGACACACCGCTTTGTCACACACCACTTTGTCACACATCACATTGTCACACACCATCTTTCACACATCACATTGTCACACACCATCTTTCACACACCACTTTGTCACATACCATCTTTGACACACCGCTTTGTCACACACCACTTTGTCACACACCATCTTTCACACACCATCTTCCACACACCACTTTGTCACACGCCATCTTTCACACACCGTCACAGACCATCTTTTCATACCATCTTTCACACACCATCTTTCACACAACACTTTGTCTCGCACCATCTTTCACCACACCATCTTTCACACACCACTTTGTCACACACCATCTTTCACCACACCATCTTTCACACACAACTTTGTCGCACACCATCTTTCACCACACCATCTTTAACACAACTTTGTCACACACCATCTTTCGCCAAACCATCTTTCACACACCAATTTGTCACACACCATCTTTCCCACAACTTTGTCACACGCCCTCTTTCACACACAACTTTCGCACACACACCATCTTGCACACACCACTTTGTCACACACACTATCTTTCTTAGTCACACACCAGCTTTCACATACAACTTTGTCACACACAACTTTGTTTTACTTCTCGGTCCTCCACCACCTCCTTTGTCTTTCCTTCCTTCCCCGTCCCCGCTACAACATTTGGTGCTTTTTATTCAAAGAAGTTGTCTTGTGGGGTTATCCGGTCCTTTAATTTCTTGATGATATCTATTACATAGCGACATTTCCAGGAGTATCTATGCAGAAACTTTCGACGTGGAGGCTTACTGCCAATACCTAGCAGGTCTATGGCACATCTTCGGCGCCATTGAAGCGCAGTCCCTGAAGGCTGGAGAACCCGTGTCTCAGCTGGATGATGTGAATCTGCATCGACGTGAGGCGGGTGCGACCAGGAAAGGATGTTTGTCATTTGAGTTATGTTGTGACCAAGTGAAGGGGATGGTAGAGTTATTCAAACTTAAGGTGGAACGTTCCTGGATTTTGCAACCAGGATGTTGTGATGGCATTGGTTTGGTATGTTTTTTTCCTGCTGACCGTAGATAGGAGAGCATCATTTCCAGTTTCTGTAGTAGAACCAAACTGTTTCTTGCAGGGCACCCAAGAGTATCTCTGTAAAGGTCTCTGCATAGTCGTGAGATGTTTGGAAAATCCTTTCCCCTAGTAACCTAGTAATTAATCAACATCCCCAGAAGCCCTGGTTTAATGCTCGATTTGTTCATTTTGGGATCATACAAGGGGTGTTCTATCATTTGGAAGGAAGGACTACATCGATTTTCTCCATTTATATATTGCATATGCTTCAACCTCATGTTTACAGGTTGAATTCACATTCAATCATTCATGAATTATTATACAATGTATTTATGCTACATTTTTATATTCTATGATATTCATGTTTATTTGGTGCATGGCACCATGTATGCAGGTTATCTAAAGCCATCTAAAGCCATGTTTTCCCTGTGAGGCGTTGCAGCAGGACCTGGCCTTTTGGTGGGGCAGCGACTGGCAGCAGAAAGCCTCCAAAGTGTCGACGGCCACAGCCGCATACCTCCGACAGCTGCACAAAGACGCTGGGTCCGCTGGGTGACCGGTGATGATGTGGTAAACATGACATTTTGGTAGAACCATGGTGACCTAAACCCCCACGTTTGTTGGGATATGTTGGCCCCTATAACTATAGTTATTGTATGTTATTATATAAATATATTATATGCACTTAATTGGAACTGCACTTCCACGTTCACGTTCGGGGACTTACAGTATTTCGGCTGGTGGATGTCACCAATCAACATGATTCATAATTGATATGATGGGTATAAAACCATGGTGATGATTGTGGCAAATCATGGCAAATCCAATAATGAATAATGTAGTAAACCATCGTCATCACAAACACTTTCTGAATACTAGGTATACCAAATTTCGTAGACCTCAATTCCTGAGTACAGTATTTATTATCGTGTTTACCTCACTGGGGCTTGAAATACCCAACCACTTCAATCACAGAAACACGATGTAACAGGCATATATATATATGGATTTTTCACTGGGTCATCAATAGCGTTGGAAACGTAAATAATCATTGATGATTGGGCACATGGATCCAATAGTCTTGAATCATATAGTTCGTTCAGACTTCTAATCACCATTGCAAGAGAAATGGAGTTTCAAGTCTGTGTCAATTTCCAGACCACCAGAACAGAATCTTATAACAGGAGAATGGTGAGGATCAGCAGGCTAATACGTGTTTGATGGGTTGAAACCATATGATCAGCACAAGGAACATACCCTGGGGATCCCTGTAGCACATTATTCACTACATGGCCAATGTCGCACCTGAGGCACTACATTCAGCATGTCAGCTCTCAGAACAGACATTCATAAATGACTACCCCAAAAAAGTCATAAATGGAATTTTATGTGAGATTCATGGATTAATCACGTGATATTACTAGAATTGAACTCATATCATCATGCTCAGATCTTTCAACTGTCATGATCAACATGATATGTTCATGAGATCCATCGATAAACCTGTTGTATCCAATCAATGATCCATCATGACCAAACCCAGAGGATCCATGTATGGAATATTTACCTAATATTGACCCCTAAAGTAATTTAAAATAATCCCAATGTAGGTAAATATTCCATACATGGATCCTTTTAGGGAAACAACCTGCAGTTTTTCCACCTCTGAATGCAGCGAGCAGCTGCAACATGTCGCTTTGACACCTTTTGCGGTGTTTCCGTTGAAGCTCCAGAAGGTGCCATCACCCCCCCAAGCCCATGCCAGCGGATATGCATTATATTATTTTATATATTAATATAATATTAATATAATGTTATGTGTATATATTATATATATATTAATATCATAGGGTGACTGGGACTGGGAACGACTGGGACGGCTGATGATTGCATTCCACTCGCCAGCCATCAGTGGCCGAAGGGATTTGGCTCAGCCATCATGTCTAGCTCGCGAAAGAGCCCTAACCACATCCTTTTGGAGGATGTGGTCAACACATGGCTCAACAGCTCTGAGGACAAGATTCCGATGATAAGGGAGAATGAGGCCGGGTGTCGTTCGGGGTGGGTTTGTATTGTGTCTGTTGAAGCCTGGCTGAATGTCTGACTTGAAGAGCGACATTATTGGTCATGTAGTGAAATATATATATATATATGATAGATGTAAAGGATCCTCAAGGATATACACATACAATATGTTATATATATATATATGTATATATACATGCATGTAGGTGTAACATCAACAAAATCAACATGTGTTGGCGCCATTGCCTTGTGCAGAACCGCAACATGCTCCCTGTGGACAAGAACGGTCCGCAATCGATGGAAGCTGTTTCTTGGCAGTTGGGGTGTTTATTGGGATGCTGCTGACTTGGTACTGGATGTTGTTTTGTTTTCATGTTGGATCACATGTGTATGTAGTTGGGGAGGCACAGGGTTTCTTGTATTTTGTTTTGGTGGGTTTGCACGATTTGCTTTGAGGTTGATGCGCACTGGCTCTTTCTGATGGATGTCTATGCCACCTTCGGGGCTGCGCTGCCACATCAGGGTGTCTTCAAGGCGCTGACTGAATCTGCCTGATGGGTGTTGGAATATTAATGATACTTAAGCTACTGGGTGTTGGAATATTAATGATACTTAAGTTACTGGTGTGACACAACGGGCAGGATGTCTTCTTTAGCGCGGCCCGGAAGTATGGCTTTTTTCCTGCCAAGACCACCAAGAAGCAGATCAAGGAATCTTACATGCACAGTATATATTTTTTTTAGTGCCTCAGGTGCGAGATTGGCCATGTAGTGAATAATGTGCTACAGGGATCCCCAGGGTATGTTATATATAATATATATATATATACATGTGTGTGTTGTGTGCAACAGTACATGCGGTTCGCTCTGGATATACCAGTTGTGTATGAATTTCTCTCCACTAGCCTAGGACTGGGCTGGATGGCAAGCTGGAGTTGCACGTGGCATGTGCAAGCATGGTGTGACCCTTGCCACGAGAGCTCAGGGGTCCAGGACGACCTCTTTGTTGACTGTGTTGGTGATGTGGCATGTACATGCATGTTACTTCAAGGATCCTAGACACCATTTGATTTGTTTGATTCCAATTGGGAAGGGGTTTGGTTCCTTTGCCTAGTGCAGTGGGAGTCATCATCATTTCCTGGAGGAGTCGAAGGGTGGTCTTCTTGAAAAAGACCCTACGTTCTGCAGTGGCTGAGATATGTGGTGGAGGAGGGGCTGAAAGAATGGGTGGGTTCTGGCTGATCGCAAGTTTCCATGTCAAAATACATCCCTGCAAGTATCTGGAAGTAGATATCATATCTAAAGGCAATTGTTGTTTGCTTCCCAGGAGATGTTGCTGATGCCGTGATCGACCAGAAGATGATGCAACAACTTGTTGACTCTGAGGACTGGGTGTAGTGCCTGGATGTTGTATGAACCACATTGAAATGTCTTTATCACATATATTTAATAATATATATATTTCTAATTATATCATAATAATATATATATATATATTACATTATTATAATATATAATACTGCTGGCATGGACTGGGTAAGGTGATGCACCAATCTAGGCACTACTCCAAGAATTTACCCTTGAGATCAGTTTTAGACAGGGATTTCTTTATATATTATTGTTTTATTTCCATCTACTTGGAACTTTATCTATCCCTGACTAGGATCCCTTCTACCCACTACATGCACCCATCAGCTTCCGTGCAGGACCATGGAGAAGGCTCATCACCAGGAGGTGAATCCTCCTCCTCGGAGAGTGTGGTGGCTTCACTGCCACCGGCTGCAGACAAAGCTGTGGTAAAGGCCAAGGTGACTTAACCAAATTGAGGGGTTAGTTTCCCCTTGGTTCATTCTATAAATTGATCAATTAATTAGATGTGGCTGCATCCCTAGATGTAGCAGATCGATTGATTAACTAACCTTTATGTACCATTATAACAATATAATAACCAATATTAATACAAGATCCATGTAGGCTATATATATATCCATGTATGATATATATATATATATGGTAACATTTACCATCAATATACCCCCAAGGTTAGTATACCATACATGGTCCTATATATACATTAACCAAACAAGAAATTATATGTATAATTATTAATATTATATATATATATAAATTATACCCATATGATTCATGTATGCTATACATGATATATATAATATATGGTAACATTTACCATCAATGTACCACCGATGTTAGCATATATATATACCATTCATGACATGTATTTTTCCCCACCTGCCAGGTGAGGGTTGTTAGATTTTATCAGGGTTATTCTTCTCCTCCTCCTCCTTCTCCTCCTTCTCCTCCTCCGCGTCCTCCTTCTCGTTATCACCTCTGCCTCCACTTCCACGTCCACTGTTGCCATGCCAACTCTTGGCCAAGCTCTTCACCAACTTCGGAGCTCAGTGCGCACTGCTGGACCTCAACCTGGGACCTCCCCAGCTCAGTGCACACTGCTGGACCTCAACCTGGGACCTTCCTAGCTCAGTGCGCACCGCTGGACCTCAACCTGCCGAGCTCAGTGCGCACCGCTGGACCTCAAAAGCTAGATAGAATGCCAGAAGATATGCCAGATAAAATGCCAGAAGATTTGCCAGATGATATGCCAGAAGATATGCCAGATAGAATGTTAGAAGGTTTGCCAGATAGAATGCCAGAAGGTATGCCAAATAGAATGTCAGATAAAATATCAGATAGAATGCCAGTATGCCAGATAAAGTGCCAGAATGCTTGCCAGAAGATTTACCAGATGACATGCCAGATGATTGAATGCCAGATGGAATGCCAGAAGATATGCCAGAACATCTGCCAGAAGATATGCCAGATCGAATGCCAGAAGATATGTCAGATAGAATGCCAGAAGATTTTGCCAGTAACAAAACATATAAATGTCATGGTGGGGATCACCTGAAGTAAAGTAATTTAAATGCAACATGCTGATTCTTTTAGTAGCGCATCATTTGAGGGGTTCAACTAATAACTGGGCCATGGTTTACCGACAGGGACATTCCACAGGGAACCCAATGAAACAATGAGTCGTTAGTTCATTAAGTTACCATTATTTTCATTTGGTGCATGGGGAATTAACACACTTAGTGGTGAACCCAAATTCTCATTTCCTCTCTATATATGGTGCTACATGCATGTACCCTCAGGATGAGATGCCTGCACCACCTCCACCTGTTCGACCGAAAGTTCCAAAGCCTCCTACTGTGAACCCAGACAACATGGAGACCCAGCCAATGCCTGACCAGGACGTTAGGGGTGTCTGCACCTGGCTAGAAAACATTGTGATCTATATTATATCATTATGAAATGATGGGCTGGATCATTAAGATTAGATTGATTGATCGATCGATTAGCTGATATCATCGATTATTATCATCCACGGGATATAACATGCTATGGGTTGACCTTGTCCAGGGAAACGTCGCAAGCACATCAAGGCTTCGTGCCATGTCATTGCTTCCTCCAGCAATTCAGCGCCAAGACGTCAGCACGTACCAGTCGTGCCAGGATGTCCATGCGGAACCCCTTGCTGAACGCCGTCAAGCATTCAAGGAGACGGTTCTCCCTTTTTGCGCCTTTTCCATGTCCACGGCCATTGCCACGGTCGTTCCCAGCAGTTTTTCCAAACTGGGGAATGGTCCAACTTGGAACTTAGGATCTTCAAGCTAGGGCCTGCATTGTTTCCTCTGCAAATGTAACTGGTCTGCCAGTCACAGATTTGCCAGAACTGCACCAGCGAGTCACGTAGGTGCCAAATGGCAGTTGCATCCAGTTGTTGATCGACATGCTGATTAACTCTATTATATAGAATGGATGTTATCACATCTCTCCACCTTCAGGTTAATTATTTCAGGCCCCGTTATTGCTAGTACTTAGCACCCAAAGCCGTATCCAGGAGTCTCGACCCTTGATGTCTGGCACCACAGTGGTTGATGGCTCTTTGGAGGTCCCGGTGGTTTGGGCTCTGGAATTGAATGGTTAATATCCCATAGGATCCATGTATGGTATATATGCTAACATTGGGGGTATTGATGTTAAATGTTACCATATATATAGCATACATGGATCCTATGGGTATATATATATATAATACATATAGTGTATATATATATATATTATAATAATAATATTAATATAACTATATATATATGTGTGCATTTTAGATAGTCAGATCCCAAGATGGTCTTTTAATTCGGATTTATACCTCATTGACTGTATACGTATAATATATATATATATATATAGATATATATACTTGCCCCTTTTACAGTAAACAGATCATCGCCTGATTCCACCTAGTGGGTGCAGGCCCAACTGGAGAAGCTATGTGATGAAACTGCAGCTGAAGTGCAGGATGATGATTTAGTCCAAGCCCAGGCTAAGGTGGGGCCATAGCCGTCCATACATATACATGCTCTTGATATATATATATAATATATATATAGATAGATAGTTCTAGGGTCAGGTTTTATGGGTCAAAAGCTTGGTGCCCTTTTTTCAGATCAAAACCACTGGGAATGGCATGTTCACCCTCCGAAAAATGACATCATAAGGTTTGATTGGTTCCTGTCTACTATCAAATGGAGGAAAATCCATGTATGTCTGAGTGCCAACATGATATTCCCAACTAGAATATATATATATATATTTATTTATTTATTTAGATCGGTTTGGGATGCCCATGGTTAGCAATTAACCACATTATAAGATAAAACTTTTATCACCTTATTATGAAACCAATGGAAATATATTCTAATATTTATGTATATATATATAGGAAAAACTTTTATCACCCTATATAGAACTAATGGATGTATATATATATATATATATTATATATATTATATATATATATATTCAAAATAATTATACATCACCAACCTCAAAATCAATTATCAGTTGGCCTCCTATTCGGGGACCCCTGATTAGGTGAAGAAAGCTATGCGTGGTGAAGCTGTTCCACCAGAACCCAAGGCAAAGAGCAGCGCTCGCAAGCGCAAGCGTGGCAAGCAGCCAGCCAAGGATCCTGCTGATGAGCCTAATGGTGAGGCACCCGAAGGTGATGGCGATGTGCCTGCTGGAGGGGATGGCGATGATGGGGCTGATCTTCCCACTGCTGATGGGGGGGAGCCGGATCCGAAACCCAAGAGAAAAACACCAAAGGTTACCCCTGATGATGTTCTCAGCAAATGGAAGCTGCAGGACCAAATGTGGAAAAAAACAACACTATTCCATGTGTTGCGTTCTTAAAACAAAAAGTATTTGGGGTTATGTTATATCCCAGAGGATCCATGTATGGAATATTTACCTACATTGACCCCTAAAGTAATTTAAAATAATCCCAATTAATGTAGGTAAATATTCCATACATGGATCCTTAGGGTTCTGCAATGATTTTTGTTACTGAATCTTTATACTATTTTATACTACATAATTCCCGTACAGGAGCCGTTGATGCGCCAAGCCGGTGTTCCTATCCCTGCTGACTACGATGGGTACAAGAAGAGCTTCACTTTGACTCCCCCGAAGAACTGTCCTGATGCTTCAGCAGTTGGAGTGCTGCCCATTGGCTGTTATTATTTATCCTGTTGTTGTTGTCATCCCCAGAAACATTATTAATTATTCAACCAGTCACCCCTTCACTGGTTTTTTAGGTAACAACATCCTTGAACATGCCAACCACGTTATTTCAGTGATAGTGATAGTGATAGAGCTGAAACAAAAATCAATGTCCAACGTTGGGGATATTGACCGGCATGATTCAGAAAAGCTTATATGTTTTACTAAAATGATCCAATATATATATATAGGATCCATATGCATGTATGCTTATATATAGGTAACATTTACCATCGATGTCATACCCCCAATGTTAGCAATATATATATATAATATAGCATACATGGATCCTATATATATATGGGAATACAAACACATAACCAACAAAACTGTTTCAATCCAAATCTGAGGTGGTGGAGCGGAAGCTTTTACGTGTACAATGCCCAGGACCCTTTGCCAAATGGGGTGTCAAAGAATACCTCCCATGGGGTGACTATCTCCATCAAAAAGCGTGGAGGACATTTGGTGGCATGGGATCTTGCCCGTCGCTGTGCCAAATGGGCCTGAATTGTTTATCATATGTTTTGCTAGGGGGGATGAGGAGCAACAGTCTCTGGCCCAGTTGTGTAATTCACACTACTGGTTCCCAATTTCATGCTTATGGATGGTCTTCAACATTTCACCGTCCATTCAATAGGCTCAATTCACTTTGGGGTGCTGATGGCCCACAACGTAGGTTATCTACATCTATTGGATCAACAAACGTCTCATCGATGGAAAAAAATCATCCTCTGCAATCGGCAGTTCATGTGCCACTCAACTTGCAGCCAGTGCGCCACATCATCATGTACTGTAGCCACAACTACAGAAGGGGGATTCATTCCCAACATGTTGTTCGACAGATGCTCTGATAGGAGCTTGTCCAAATTGATTTCCAATCCAACTGATGACCACCACGGGGTTCTCATTGCGTTCCATCACCAACTTGTGGTGCTCATGAGATGCCAATGTGGCAGAATCGAAGGTTTGGATGTCGAAGATTTGGTTCAGAAACGAACCCAGCTGGGATATTACACAAGTGCATTATCCGCAATTATCATCAGTACGGGTGCCATCTCTAACCTAATCTACTTGCATATTGTTCAGTATATATTGTTGATATTATACAATTAATATATATATATATACTAATTGATATTATAAATGATATAATATTAAATATAATATGTATTTTGACATTAACATTTTTTGTAATTATATACATGCAATATTTATATTTATAGCATATATATATATATATTATTTATTGTATATATATAAGAAGATATGTCGATAGAATGTCAGAAGATATGCCAGATAGAATGCCAGAAAAAATGTCAGAAGATATGCCAGATAGAATGCCAGAAAAGATGTCAGAAGATATGCTAGATAGAATGCCAGAAAAAATGTCAGAAGATATGCCAGATAGAATGTTATAGAATATATATATATATTATAATATATAGATTATAAAATGTATATATATATTATATATAATATACTTATAGTTATTAATATTAGATATAAAAATAATATATATTATATATAATAAAATGTTTAATTATATATTAATAAAAAATATTTATATATATATCGATATATATATAATTACATTATTTATCAAAACATATCATATATATATATATATATAAATATCACCAATTAACTCAAGAACTTTCATTATCCCTGTTGGGGGTTTACTTTCACCGGCCACTCATTCCGATTCGTCCTGATGGATTCATCGAAGCGTGCCATCGGCCTGTCAGCGAGAGCTGCTGCGATCATCCTTCTACTGGGAGGCCCACCAATCTTGAAGCTTGGCATTGCTTGTTGACCCTGGTCATGGTAGATGGCATACCCCTGTTATAAGAATATCTATTATGAATGCAACTGACAATAGACAATCGGACCTGGAGGGATTCGAACCCCCAACCATTGTGTCTAACTGCGTGCTTGCATGCAATCTATACCCAAGCAACAGTCAAGAACACAACGCCACGACCAATGGGCAACAGGTCCACTGATGGATGATTTAGTGTTCCCACCTTTGGGGGTTCTGGGCGTATAATATTGTATATATATATATATTATCCCAGTGGGTTACCTTATACGTTATAACAATAATATTACCTAGTCAGTAGGTTTCCCTGGCCCCTTTTTTTTGGTTTGGTTCCTGCTACTTTTTTGGGTGTGAAATAGATACCACCCTTGCCGGGTCTGAATATATTTCACCATCACCGTCATCATCATCATCATCACCACCACCATCATCATCATCATAACCATCATGATCATCATCATCATCATGATCATCGTCATCATCATCGTTATATTTGATTTCTATCACACACATATATTTATGGCTGAACCATGCCCTGTCCAAGGATTCATTGCTGTGATTATCTTCAGCAAGTCTCGGTGGCCAATCAGCACCACTGGGTCCGTGAAACTTGGATGTAAAAAAAAAACATATATATATAATGCTTCAGCAACTGAACTAGCTGTTGTTGTCAAGCTGCATTAGTGCTGCCTGTTTCCCATTAAGGATACCCAGTTTTATGAGATATTTGCTGGAACTTCTCGGCTGACTTCGACATTTCGTTCGATGCTTATTTATCGAGTGTATGAGTGCACAAAAAAGAAACCCTCAGGTAAAACCCAATCACAATGTAATATATATATAATATGTATAATATATATATTAAAAAAATAGTTTATAGGTGTGTCCCCCCAATCAATTTACCTGAGGGATATTTGCCAGTACTGGATTGGCTACTAGACAACTCGTTCATGGGGTTGAGGTCAACATGGCTTTGCTAGCCATTGGTACGACTTCGAAGGACGCCCTGATAATGATTTCACAAGTGCAACAGGATTTTTGATTGCCATCCGAGATGTGATGCGGGTGCAGCCTGGAGGGTATGTACATGGCGGCCATCCATGTAATGGGTCCCTTAATTAGATTTGTAATTTTTGGTTTCCCTGCTAACATTATGTATATATATATATTATTATATTATATATATATCGTCCCGGTTGGGGTAACATGATCTCACTACTGGTATATCCAAGGTTCATATGGATATCAACTGGCAGCCACTGCCGACACTTATCTATATTGGGATCCAAGATCAGTGACTTGGTTGAAATTTGGACCGGGGGGGGTTCCATGCTCTGGATTTTAAATCTTAAGAGTTTGCCACTCCAATGGATTATTTTGCTACAAGCCTTGCTGCCGGCAATGGCCTTGTGGCGCCCTTGTAGCTATGGTGGTGCTCGATGTTCACATGATTTTCATGCCTGGGGTTGGTAGCAAACGGCCCTACTTGCGTGGCAAATGTGTACCCCACAGGAAATAACAATATAGTGGGAAATATGGTGATGATTTTTGGGGAATCTGAATGATGTTTATTTGCTACAAATGTGATATATATATATATATATATATTATATTTATTATATTCAGAATCTTCGCACCGTGTTGGGCTTAAACACCCGTTCAGGTTTTTTTTCTGTGGGACTGAGTAAAATCCAGTTCGATCCCCATGTAACATATTCACTGTAGGCAAATGGTGCCCCTTATCTTTTATTATATAGATATATAAATATTGATGATATATATATTATATATATATTATAATATTAATACATATTTATATATCAAAAATATCGGACACCGACTCCTTTTCAATATATCAATCTTTTGGGTTATAAATTATACCCTGCATTAATATTAAATATATATATGTATATATATATATATTATATGAATTTATGTCATTATTATAACCAGTACATGCATGTATTTATATATATTATATATATCACACAAATCTTCTGGTATTCTATATATCTAACATATCTTCTGGCATTCGATCTGGGCATGATTATTTGGCACTTTATTTGGCATATCTTCTGGCATTCTATCTGACATGTTATCTGGTATTCTATCTGGCATATCTTGTAACATTCTATCTGGCATATCTTCTGGCAAATCTTATGGTATTTTATCTGGCATATCTTCTCGCATTCTATCTGACATTCTATCTGGCATATCTTCTGGCATTCTATCTGGCTTTTGAGGTATATATATATATATATATATCTTCATAATATATATTATATTATATATATATATATTATATCCCTATAATATTATAATATTATTATATAATTATTATTTACATTTATTTTGATCATATATATGATATATATATAATTAATATTATATATATATATAAATATATTTATAGTAATGCTCAAAGGAAGTCTGCGCTGGCACATCCTCATGTGTACGCTTGCCGCCGTTGCCCATCTGATTGGGCCAATGTGGACATTGAACAATGCCCAACTTCAGTATATAGGCCACATATAGCAATGCATGGGTGTCCGCGTCAATTTCCTTTGGGCAGAATCATGCCCTTGTAACGCCAACACGGATCCATGCCCAGAGTGGACAGAGCTGCGTGTATGCGACCCATTTCGCAGGGGCTAAGCTGTGTTTGCCTTATTTGAAGGCTTCCGCGGCGCCATAGTTGCGTAGCTCCCATCAGTGAATGCACGATGTACTCACTAATCTAACTAATCCAACTAATCCAACTTACTCCCATCCAACATTTCTATTGATATACACATTTACCCAGTTTATTTATGATAACGTCCCCATGTTATTTCTCTGAATTGAACAATATAATCATGCCCAAATCTCCCAGGTCCATTGGCTATGAAATCCAATTGTCTGCTGGCCAGATTTAGTCTAGTGATTCTGTTATGCATTGCATTGCAGATTCATTGGACGGATTCTTGGATCAAAAAAAAATTGGCAGGTGTTTGTTCCCAGACATATTGCCTTTCTTGAGGGAAGTAGATAACGTTATAGGTGTGTATATATATATTATTGTATTTTATTGCCATCAAATACCCACCCTAATTATTAGTTGGGTTGACTGAAGTTTGTTGAAGAGTTTATCCCTATTTGGTATGGAATTATCCTAGATGCAGGTAGAGCAACCGTCCAGTAGCCGGCTGGTCATGATGCCTTATATTCAACATATCTCTTCTGCGATGGAGTTATGGGCGAAACAATATGCCAGCCGTGATGACCTCATAAATTTCAAGAGGTTGTGCCTAGGCTGAATTTGTTCTTATTGTGAATCCATCTTGGCAGCTGTTAATTTATGACTGTGTGAAACTCCCAGTTTATTGGACCTGATTGCCTTATATTTAAACTAAGTTGGATGGGGCTTTATGGAAGTCCAACACCGAAAGCCAGCTACCTCCTGGGGAGCCCGTCAGTGTCTCAGACCAGATCACTGTCCACATTATCTTTGCCTTCGAAGCAAATGGCCCGGGGATCTGTCAATATAATCTAAGGCAATGGATACAACAGCTCAGTGGAACCCTCACCCCTGAGAAGAAGCTGGAGCTATCGAAGTCCAATGAATCTGGTATGGTAAAGAAGTCCCAAGATTCCATCACTGGTGCAACCAAGGTGTCAGGGGCTCAAACCAACTTGAACTGAACCGTTTCCATTAATTTATGTTTAATCACATAAATTCTTGGTGTCTAGTGGCAATGATTGCATGGATATAATCCAAATTATTTATCAATGCTGAGGTGTGGAGGGCCATCACTCAAGGGATCAGCAGCTTATCCACAAGATTTCTGTGACTTCGTGGTACGGGAACAGAGCAATCTGTGGGTTCCTTTGGCTAAACTAGTTTGTAATAAGCATCAATATCATCC